TTAATTGAATTTTTTATTATTATATAATAATAAATTGTGTACATTTAAAATATTATATATTAATGTGATTTATCGATAATGATTTTAATTGATAAAAAAAATGAAACTTAAATTAATTTTTTTATAAAATACGTTTATGAACTTTAAAACTTTTAATATTTGAGTTTGAAAGTCAATGTAATTGAATTAAATTAATCAGGCTGCAGTTGTTACAATATGTGCATTTTGTGATTGTAGTTTATCAAAAGTGTAGTTTTTGGTCATCATATTGACCCTTTGTACACGTGGCACCCATTCATAACAGTCGTGTTTTAACTGTTTTCAGTATATATAACGATTTGTTTAATGGTATGAATAAATTTTGACAAAAATCATATTAGTTTTAAAAATAGAAACTACCAATTGTCAAGGGGTAAAAAAAAATAAGCATACAAATCTAATATTTATGTATTGATCTACCATCGTTTTACGTTTATGATAAATATATTGTGTATTATGTAGTAGGTATATTTTTGTATAATATCGCTTAGTAATCAAGTAGTTAAATCATCACAAACATCTTATTTTTGAATTAATGATTTAAGTGTAGGACAGTTAGTGTAGTATTATGATTGTATAATAATATAATATATTTATGATCAGTTTTTTTTCTAGGATAAATGATAAAAAACTTAAATAAAATAAAATGATACTATGTTTTGTTGATGGTTAAATAAATAGGTATTCAAATATGAAATAGAAGAAAAAGTATTTTTTTATACGTTTGGTTGGTTATCTACCGTGTAGTATCTATGCAGACTAGCACTAGTTGTGACTGCGGGTACGTCAAGCAATGGTCATATTGTTAGTGTCGAACAAGCACATCGACAGCGGTCAAAAAATCAAAGAGCGGTCGTAGAGTGTATAGTAAAGAGTTTGTTAATGAGCTTTGGAAACTGGAAAGGGGTGTGTGATCTCGGTTAAGTGATTGAAAGCTTCGCTGTTACTGTTTTATCGGTTCCGGTATGCAAATAATATATATAAAAATATATTTTTAGGTACGTAGAAAAGATAGAAAGCCATTTGTTTTCACACAGTTTATGAGCTGACCTAGAGAATTTTTTTGGTATATTTCTATATACTATTTATAATATAATAAGTATCTACTACCTACCTATTTTAGTATTAGAGCTAGTTTAGGTACCGCGTTAAACCTACGGTATTAAACCGATATTTGGATATATATTATATATATATATATATAATCATAACTTGTCGTTATGGCTACATTATGAATATGCCGTTATGGATCTTTAATTATTATTTTATATTTATACGATGCGTGCGCATGCCGCGCGTGTATGTTATAAAATGTTTGCACTGTAAATACTCGTATTTATAATGGACAACGTTACGTGGATACTCACGGATCGTGAATTGTGATTAACAAAAATATCATCAAAATGATCTCTCTCAATCCCTATCTCTTCTTCTCTCTTTTCCCGAATACTCACAACTTTTCCACTCATACAAATACTATATATATATTATACATAAATATCAAATAGATATAAATTTCTGTGTGTATGCAACAGTTATCAAAATGTTGAAACTATTTACCCAGTGTGTATTAATTTTTCCGATTAGTGACCCATGATTTTTGGAGTGAATATGGAATGAATAAATTAAAAAACAAAATATAATAAAGCATAGTATATTATGAAATAAAATAAAGTAGATATAAATTTGTAAACTTTTTTCATTTAATAAATAAATAATATTATGCATAAAAATAGTTTTAAAAAATACGTTCAAATGCATGATCGTTTATATTATACAAATATTAATCATATGCGCGATTATATCATATTATACTAACCATATACCTATGGGTTATCGAGTAACCAATAAAATTATAATTTTTGAATTTTTAAACATCATCCGCAAGCAATCAGAGTTGATTAAAATGAGTTGTTATAAAATTTTTAAAACTGTATTGCATTTAACCAATATTTCATTTAGAACGACACGTTATGTACTCTGTGTCTAAAATTTTATTATATTCACATATTTAATTAAGACTGTAATAAATTGTAAGGAACTCATTGGTGATTATAAATTTTTTATTTTGTAATTAAATAAATAATTTGGTAATAACTAATATAATATGCTTATTGACATATATTATATTATATGGTAACGTAATAGAACAATTAAAATTATACAAATAGGGTTTATTGAGGGAGTTGGCGAAAGCCAAAAAAAGGACTCTTGAGTCTTGGTTTTCTTATCATGAAATTATCTCATTATCATATTTCTTGTATAAAATATACTAACATTAGTGACGAATCTCATTTGTGTTATCAACTATGCCGCAGTTACTTAGATAAGATTAATAATAGTTTTTTCAAATTATTTTTTTGGTAATTATTCTGGTATCTCTTGTATCGAGTGTGTATTTATATATATGTATATAATATATTTAGTAGTTTAAATGATTTATTAAAATAAATAGGACAAACAAAACACAAATTGGTAATAATTATACAGTATATATCTATCAAAATATAATCATGAAATAATTGATCTTACTTAATTATGTTATGCCAAATATTGTGTATTTTGTTATATTTTCTTCGGATTAGTGGTTTTATTAAGTCCGTCCTTTATTACTTCAAATTGGTCCAATAAAAATGTCTCAATAATGATATTTGATTTCCAAAAAACTAAAAAGAGTTATTTAGTTATTATTTATAAGTTATTCATTTTGATATAAGCAATACCATATTCATAATGTATGTTACTCTAACATTGAACTTCTAAAATAGGTATTGTTCACTATTAAACTGCAGTTTTTCCATGATTATATATGATTAAAGACGTTGAAACCGAAATTACATATACGACACGCCAACCAACGCGTAGATTAAGAATATAATTACTAAAAATATTTAGTCAGAATGATAACCAGCTTATTGTCAACTTGAACTAGTCATATTATAACACTTAACTTAAATCAACGTATATTTTTTTTTATTTAAAACTATTATATTTTAGTAAAAAAAAATTTAATTAAAAAAAATTAAAGAATATAATATTAACTAAAATTATTTTAAAATTTGAACTTTCAAAGAATAATTGATTAAAACGTATTCATTCAAATTTTCATTTTTTAGGATAGAAATTCTTTATTTGTGTTTATCTTAAATTTTTTTAAGTAAATCATGAATTATGATTAAAATTTTTATAAATACATAATAATAATGGAAACTGTTAAATATTTGTGGTACTTTTTATTACATCCTAAATACTTAAAAGCTTTAGTAAAAAAAAATAATTAAATTAATTAAAGTTACCTAGACGCTTTATTCTTTGAAATGAATTAAACCCTAATACAACTTCCTAAGAATTATTATCATTTTAATAACTAAATTTTTCAAGATGATTTTAAAACTTTATTATCATTATCATTGAAGTATGATTTTTTAAATATTGGAAAAATTATTAGTAAGAGAGTATTTTAATTATTTTATCTATATGTATTTTGTGAAGTTCAAGAAATAGAATATAAAACAATGTCCTTTAATTAAACTGTCAAAGTTTTATGAAAAAAAAATTGCTTGTAATATTAAGCTCTTAGTGTTTTTTCTTATATCTTTGGACTTAATTAATCAATCAAATTCTTAAAACTATAACAACCTAACAAACTAATCCGTGTAACAACGAATTAAAATAATTATGATAGATACATATCAGATAGATTTGTGTGAGGGTGGTATTTGTAGGTAGATTTTTACAACAGTTTGTTTAATTAATTAGTTTTCAGTTTTTTTTTTTGGAGTTTTTATTTTTTGTTATAAACTTAGGTGATTTACACGATAAGAAGGAAAACTTTGATTAGTATACCCAAAAGTCCAATTTTCTCATATAAGGGAGAAATCTTGGAATTTTAAGGGGTAATTATTTTTATAGCACAAAGAATTATTTTGAAAATTGTGTGTGATATTTTAAAAATATTTTAGTTCTTATGTTTTTGTTTAGTCAAAAATTATATAAAAATTGGGCATACTATTTTTGTTAATCTAAATAAATATCATACAAATATATACACTTGAAATTAATTCATAAAGTTAAGATTATTTGTTTATTAAAGGATATATTATTATGTTACTGACTTAATTTAAATGTTTAAGTTTATTAATTAGTTGGTTTTACGTATGTCTAACATTGCGACTTTTAATGTTCAATGTACACAATTGAAAAATATTTCATTTAGGCAATAAGATGCTTTAAATTTTCTAATTTAAATTACGTCATGGTAATAAAGTTATTACTTTATTTTTTTGAAAATTGTTCACATCCAGTGATTTTGAATGTAAGTAACTTAACTACTGATAATGGTGTTATAGATAATGCCACGTTATTGTGAAATAACTAATAACTAATTTAATTTGTTTGATGTACACATTACATTCAATAATATGATATGCGTCACGATAAATATTTTACATTTTAAATATTATTATAATGTATTTAACTCTATTTGGTAACAATTTTTTAATTTAGAAGTATACGTGGTTTTATTGTGATTAAAAGTTTATTAGAAATATAAAGAGTTAAGTTTTTGAAAGAATATATTATATTTTGGTCTGTACATTTATTTAAAAAAAAATGTCTATAAGCCATGATTTTATACTTGTTTATTATTCATATATATATATATATATTTTTTTTGATTTTTTTTGCTAAATATAAATGAATCTTAATACTGTATAAAATGATTCGGAAAATGTTCGTATCAAACGTGTTGAAAAAAAATGAATAATAAAAAGTAATAGTTAAAAAAACTTTTTTTTTTAAATTTTGCCTTATCTTAGGTATTTCTAGGATGCAACTCTATTCCGTAGGTTCTCGAGATTAATCGGCGGCGCGAGGGCGTGTTTATGTGTAGGCGGCGCTCGCTCCGTCGTCGTCGGAGGCCACCTCGGCAAGTTGTACTTAACCGCCTGCAGTGACGCCCGGCTGTCTCAATAGTGTGCTAGTCGGTAATGCGCTCCGCTATTTGAATTTTTGTCACGTCACGTGGTTTAAGTCGCGCAGATATCACACATCATGGAGATTCTGAGGTACAGTACCTGTTTGAATAGTATTTCTTAATGCACGTAAACTATGATGATTTCATGTCGTGAATAAATAGACGAAACTCTTATTGTATTATTGTGCTGTATGCATCGATACAACGATGACGAACCCGAGTAATAATATAATCAAATTATATCGTAAATAATATACATTTTGTGGAGATATACAGTCCTCTATGCAGTTAAATTGGCATAGATGTAGGAATATTGACCCACGTCATTTTTTTTTTCATCTATCAATAACTTATCGTAATAATTAGAGATTTTGATCGGTAAATATATTATAATATTGTTTTATACCTCCCATCAAGTTTAGTAGGTATATCCAAACATAAAATATATAACTTAGAAAATAGTCGTTTGTGTTAGGTAATATTACGTTATGTTTTGTATAATTTATTGTTTTTCAGTAAAAAAATCACAAATTGTATAAAATATATTATTATTACCTAATATAAAAACAAATACAGTCTTATTCAGTTTATAGTTTGGAAAATCATTTTAAAAATTTTTTTTTTTGTTTAAATATAATAAATTTCTTACATCAAAAATAATATGTATAAAAGTATCAGTAGATCTTATTAGAAACTCCAAATGACTATATTGTCTACTAACATTTATCAATTTATCGTACATTGTTTTCCGTAGGCAATAAAAATTAGAAAAATAAGCGTTAGAATAATTATAACGAAAATGCCTTATTATTTCAATTATTAAGTGGTGTTCGAGAAATATTAAACAACAAATTGTCATTATTGTTTATGGTACACTTACAGTGATATTATATTAGATATATAATGTTTGTGTAAAATCTATGTTAATTTCGAAATACCCAAGATGCATTTATAAATATTTACAGAAAGTTTTTTTGTCCAATGTTTAAAAAAAAAAAAATATATTTATTTAACAAAATAAAATCAATATAATTAAAATATTTTAACATGACACCAGCATCTTATTATTTTATGTTTTTAGAAAAATAACAAACTATTCATTTTTTAAACTTAAAACATATTTATGAATAATGTAAAATGGTTTATTAATATATATTCAGTAAATTAAAAAATGTATTCTAAATATTAAAAATATATTTTTTTAATTTTATACATCAAAAGTTTAAAAAAAATACTATTTTTTTTAATAGGCCTTTTTCAATTATCTATTTACGTATATTATCATGCATTTAAATTAAACATTTAAATTTTAGTTAATATTTAAGAAAAAAATTAAAATCTTAGTTAAGTACGTATAGTAGGATTCATTTAACATACTGAGTACTACGATACTGCGATGTTTCCCTATTTATTGTATTTCATAGTTGGTAACAAATTTTACTTTTCAGGGTAGTAAGAAAATCTGAAAACAATTTCGTCTGTAATATCTATGTTAAATGATTAATACATATAGATTGTATTTATAAGTCTTGTGTTTTTTTAAATGTTCACAATTTATTTTTTTTAAAGATGAATATTCTCAAAACTGTTATAAAAATAATCTATATATATATACAAATTGAGCCAAAAATGTATAACAATTCATCAATTGAGAACGGCTTGGCTGATTTGGATCAATTTTTTTTTAAATTGTTCGTAATTTCCAGGAGAAGGTTATTACGAAAAAAAAATTTTGGAAAACTCTAAACACCCGTACCACAAATACTTTTTAATATTTAACTGATTTCTGTTTCAATTCAAATAAATCAATAAATTCTTGAACTATATGTTTTATTATCACTCTAAAGTTTATCAGAAGGCGTTAAGTTCGCCGGGTCCACTTAATATTTAAAAACACTTTTTGGCAAAACAACGTTTGCCGGGTCAGCTAGTTATTTATATTTATTCATTCTTAAATGTTCGTTCATAATATTATATTCATAAGATTCGAGTATGTGCACAAATATGTTAACTATTATAATTTGTTATCGTCTCTATATGTATGCTAATAAGTTCTAATGTAATGTATTAAATAACTTGTTGTGTTTTTGGATTATATTTTTTATTTTATTTGTTTTAACTATGGGTAGATAAGCTTTTTTTAATAAATTAGATAAATTATACTATATTTAGTATTATAAATGAAACTACGAAAATATTTTAATTTTTTTCATAATTAGATGAAAATAAATTTATTAGAATTTTGTAAGGATATTTTCGATATTTTCGATATTTATAATTTAAGTTCTGTCTATATAAATATTATCTTATAAGAAAAAGAAATTGAATGTAAATTATATTTTGGTTTTACGTTTGGAAGATATTTATTTTAATTTGAACTATAAAGGTTTTTATATATCTTTTAGTTGATGATAATCGATATATTTGTTGAGATTTTTTAAATTTAATGTTTGAACCGGTAAATTGGACAGACAATCATTCAACTGGGACAAATAACAATTATAATTTGTTATGCTAGTAGGGGACCCCATCTGGTCTAACGGCGATAAGCGATTTTTCTTACCGAATTATTCCCGTCGTTTTCGAGGCGTCCGAAGAAAACGATGTTGAAAATTTGAAATGTCATCATTCTTCCGATGTTGTGGTGTCAACGGACAAACTCAATTTAATCCGTCGACACTATCTTTGTAGTAATTCCCAGCCTTGAGTTAAACTTGTGTTTCCCCGCGTGTCTTTTGTGTCCGTGTTTTTCACATCACCATTGGAAACCACAAAAATGTGTAAACTAATAATAACAATAAAAGACGAAAAATATATATACTCACTTAGGCTTCTCATCATTGATGTTGGTAACGCGTCTTTTTTTTAATATTATTTATTTTCCTTGCCTATTGTCATTTGGGGCAATGAGCTTGACAATAGAACGGCTTATCTTTCTGGTGAAAATATTATACGGCACCGATGATAAGAAGGTTGAGAGTGTATCGACAATGTTGATGGAAAAACGTGATAAGTTCTTGGTTTACGGCTCTTTTGTACCTTAGACAGACTCACAAGCATTGGGGTGGAAAAAAATATTAACACATTTTGGTTGAGTGGTTAAATTTTGAAAATAACACTTAGTAATGCAAATGTAGTGTTTAAAAAAAAAAAAAAATAAGCATGAGTATACTTTAAATATAAAACTAAAAAACTAAAAAATTGACGTTAATAAATAAATGGTTATAAAAACAACAAATCGTTAGAACGTTTAACATAATAAGTTAAGAAGTTGTTTATTAATATCATTTTAAATAGTTTGCTACAATTTTTGATTTTCTAATTAAACTCCCAAATCATATTTTGTATTTATGATATAAACTAGCAGCATAAATATTTATTTTGATGTACTTAAATATTAAAATTAAAGTTGAAAACTTGTAATGATTGCATCACGAATAGATTTAATTATTGGTTATATAATATTGATACAGCACAAAATGATACATTTTTTTATAAATGCTTAATTAATACATGGATATTTAGTATATACCTATAATATTAGGTCATAAGTATTTAATTATTGATAGAGTAGTAATTGGTTGCAATTTGGTAATTTTTTTATTTTATTACCTTGTAAATATTATTATATTAGCATTTTAAACATTTTGTATCTAGGTACTTTAATTGAGATGATGTGTGTGTGAGTGTGTAATTTTCATTTCTTAGAGTACGCTAAATTCTATCTGTATATGTCGTGTACCTATGTATATATTTATTACTTCTATGATTGTGACCATTAAGCATAATATTCTAACGTTTATGTATGTTTAAGGCAAACTATTGTGATTCATATTTATTATTATATACATTGAAAATACTACATAATAATAAGAAAAAAACACAAGAGTGTTATGTTCAACAGTTATTCTCTAGTCTCTACAGTTAATCTCAATTTACGAAATATAAATAACACTCGTACTTATTGATATTTGTTATGAATATAAATCTATCTGGATAACTCTAATTTAAAGAGGCAAAAAATAAATATTTTATGTTACGTATTTTTTTGAGTTATTTTATTGATTGATATAGGTTATTCATAGATTTTATATTATATATTAAACTAAAAGTTATCAGAAAAATTGAAGTTATCATGGTTAAATTAATTTGAGTTACAAAAACTTGATGTTACTTTATTAATAAAAAAAAAAAAAAAAAAAAAACACTTTTATGTATAATATTATATTATACCTAATATTAAATCAAAACATTTTATACCCATGTAGTGTGATATTATAACACTGTGTCTTATTTCATCTTATTAAATAATTATTTGGTATATTTAGATAGGATCTATTTCTGAGTTTTCAAATTTTTAATAGTTACATAATGGTATTGACAAAACTCAATTTGATTTTTAATTAATAAAAAAAAAAAATGTGTTAAATGTTGTTAGAAATTTATCAAGTACATAATACTTATTGTCAATTTTTTATTGGAAATTATTAATTTTTTAATGAACTAAAAAGTAGTTATTCAAATAACAAGTACATAGATTTTTATCAGTTTTTATTTATTTAACACATTTAAATATAAATGCCATTTTATAAAAACTTTGGTTTATTCTTTTAAAAATTGAAAACGAGTTTTTATCAGAATATACTCGTACTATATAAAATTAGATTTTCGTTCCGAACCTTGGACTGATTCAATTTTTACCAAGATTTTTCAGTATTTTCAGGATATTCTATTATTTGTTGAGTTGTACGATTTTAAATGTACAAGTGTTGGTAAATTCATTTAAGTTGTTATTCATAATTCAAAGCATATTTTGATAATATTTGTGTAAGTATTTTGTATTTATGTTTTCCTTTACATGATTTATAAAAAGTCACTTTATCAATCAGCTAATTTATAATATATATTGCAATATTGCATGGATAGGTATTATTATTATTATGTCAATATTTATTCAATGTGTTTCTTATTCGTGTTTGTGATAAAGAATTTTAAATTGTATGTCGATTAGTTGATAGTAACTCTGGATAAGATAAATTTATGTTCTGTTATAAAGGAAAATCCCTATCATATAATACCTTTGGTAACACT